CCCAGCCCTGCCTTGCCCCCCCGCCCCCCCAAAAACTGACCCCTGGCACTGATTTAATCTCATCTCTTAATCTCTCTCAACCTCCTCTTACTCTTCATTTCCCTTCCCCTTTGTGCTGTCACCCATACGCCTGCCCTGCACCTCGTCCCTCCCTTTGCACACAGTGACTCAAAGCCCAGGCTTGCCCCAGTGTCCCTCCAGTTCCCCCAGTGCTGGGGGAACTGGTTTGCCCCAGGGAGGACCCTCCCCAGTGCTGACTAAATCCTCCCCAGCCAGCCCTGGCTGTGCCGGGGGATGCGGCAGGGAGCTCCCATTTCCCACAGAGCCGTGGCCAGCTGGTTGGGCTGGTTTGGCACCTACACAGGCTTGCACATGCTTACACACTCATGCACACACACACACACACACACACACACACACTGGCCTCAGGGATCCTAGAACCCCCCCCTCACAGTTCCTCACAGGAGCCCATGGCACCAGAGGGATGCAGGGGCCAGATCCTTCTCCTCTGGGGGACCAGGAGGATGGGCAACCAGACCCCACATGGGTGTTAGCCACCCTTGGGGTCCCTGAGGCTGCTGGGGACCCCTCTGCACCTCTGGAGATGTTCCTGAAGGGATTCAACTGGTACCCACTGGTACCACCACCAAAGCAGGGCCGTGGCTCTGGGGTGGCTGGGCAGAAGCTGCTGCATCCCCCTTCTCTGGGACCCCACAGAGGAACCTTCCCTCCTGAAGCAAATTGGTGTGAAAGGAGGTTTCTGCCCCAAAACCTTCCCCTGCTACTCCCCACCCAGCCGTGGTTTGCATGTGGTTCCTCAAGCCACCCTGTTCCCTGCGAACGGCGCTGGGGGGGACCAGAAGCTCTGGTGAAACCCAGCAGAGGAGAAATCAGCTTTTTCTGGGCTTCCCTGGTGGGGGAGCTGTTTAGGAGATGCTGGAGTGGGTGTGGGACTCGTCCCCTTCCCACTGTCACTGGAGCAGGGCAGCCCCCGTGGGTCAGAGACCCACCCCGGACCATGGGGCTGGGGTTGCTGTGTGCGCTCACTGGGCTCTTCTCTTCGAAGTGATGACCGCGTTAGCCATCACTAGGTTTCAGAGTTAACACCCTCTCGAAGGGGAGCCATTCATGTGGTCTCAGGGTGCTGGTGAGCCCCAGCTGAGGCTGCTGCCGCTCCTGGCACTTCATTTCTGGCTCTCCTCGTGCTGCCAGGGCGGACCAGGAGGATGGGCAACCAGACCCCACATGGGTGTTAGCC